CCACAGGTCATCATGTCTAACTACGTTTTCAAAAACTTTTTTTAGTGTACACTTCATTGGATTTTCGTATAGCTATCACTCCTATGCCAATTACAGAACATTTTTGTTGGTTTTCTAGAATTGCTGTACAGTCATTTTCAGATGCTGAAATCAGAGCGGTCAAGATTTAGGCATATCTGCTTCTTTCTGAGGTCTGTGAGAAAGAATCTGTTCAGTGCTTGTAGTTTCTAGTGGTTTGCTGATTGATAGTCTTGAGCTTGCCAGAATATCATAATCTCTGCCCTCATCTTCACTGATCATCATGTGTGTTTATCTGTGTCCACTTAAGTCATATTGAATTAATTCAATAAAAACTTAAATTACAATGAATTAAATTCCTGGCCCACTGCAGTATGATCTCTTCCCAACTTAACTAATTGTATCCCCAGTGATCCAATTTCCAAATAAGATAGCATTCTGAGATACTAGATGTTAGGACTTCAAACGGGAATTTTGGTAGGACATAATTTAACCCATTACATGGTTATATCAACAGAAATTGAGATAATTGAGACATTTCAACTTTCTTTTATGAGTTTGTGTTTCACTTCTGAATTTATAAGGTTTTTTTTATTTAATGTTTTCAACAGATTTTTTGTGTACCACCAATGTTCATATATTGATACCCACTCACCAAGGTGATGGTGTTTGGATGTAAGACCTTTGGGAGATGATTAAGTTACAGGGGCAAAAGATGATTAAGTTACAAGGGCACTCATGATAGTGCTTCTATTTAAAGGAGAGCTTGTAAAGGAGAGCTTATGGAGATCCCTCATCTCTTCTGCCATGTGAGGACACAGTGAAAAAAGATGGGCTCATCTCTAAATCAGAAAGTGGGCCCTCTGAGTCACCAAGTTTGTGAACACCTTGCTCTTGGACTTCCCACCCGCTGGAACAGAAATTTCTTTTGTTGATAATCCACTCAGTCTGTTATCTCTGTTAATGCAGCTGAAATAAACTAAGCCAAATTGTGTGCAAATAAAACCATTTTCTGCCCATGCTAAGACTGCTAGAAGTAAACTCCCACCAGTTCTCAGATCCTTTTGTCTGAAAATTTGGGTATCCATATTTTTAAAATATGATGACAATCCCAAAGCAGAACATAAGTTGAAGTACAATATTTCTGTCAATCAGCCTCAAATTTTAGTATTTTGTCATTTTTGTTTCCTCTGTTTTCCCCATCATCAGGACAACCTCTTTTCACAATCTTAACCTTATTACCAAAAAAGTGAAATGAAAAGACCCCGACAAGTGACACTGTTTCACAAAGAGACTACCAACTACACAGGAAAAGCAAAAAAAAGGCCTAAAATTGAGCAGATATAAGATAGTTTTATATTAATGCATTTTTCGAGTATTAAAGAAGCACCTCAGTTGTCTTTGTGGTTTACAAATAAGTTTTTATTTTTTTAAAGATTTATTTCTGCATACAGAACTGGGGTACAGGCCAGAGGTGCAGGGACAGTAAAAGGATTCACCAGAGACAGAGTGGGGAGCAGAACAGGCAGATTGACAGGTACACTGCTGAGGAGAGCAGCGGGTGGGTCAGGAGAGGTCTGCCGCGCCATGTGGTCACCTCCAGGGCGGGGATCAAACTCATGCAGAAGTGGCTTTAGCTTCTTAGTGCTGTGCTTTAACCCACTGTGCCACCAGGAAAGGCCCCCAAATAAGTTTTAACCAAGAAACCGTTCAAATTAAATCTATAAGGAAAATCCAAACAAAAGCCCTTAAGATGGTCACTATGGGGAGATCAAAACTTCACCATTTTTACTACATTTATATTTAAATCACTCATGTATGTCTGTGGAGTTTTTTGTGCTATGTGGAACACAGGTTTTGGAAACCAGGAAAAGTGACATGTTCAAAGTTATGTAGTTGCATGGTTGCAGAGATAGGACTGGGGCACAGATCTCTTGCACTAAAATGTTTTTGTTCTTGCTGTCTCTTGCACAACTTACAAAATAATTTTCCTGCTTGAACCCCCAACACAGGTATATAATTGAAATAGATCATTCTTTTCTCTAGGAGACTTCTTTTGATCTAACTCAATATTAGGTCAATGTCTACAATCTTTGAGCAGACAAATTGAGTTGAATTCAGTTTCTTGTTGATTGCTAGTGTATAGGCATAAATTCTTATATATTGATTTTGTATCCCATATACTGAACTAGGTTATTACTTTCTGGTTTTTAGATTTACTATTCTAAGAGCACAGAGTCACATTATTTAGAAATGTATATAATTGTATGGTCACCACAATCCAGTTCTACAAAATTTTCTTTGTTCCTTCATGGCTGGTTTGTACTTGATCATTCTCCTACCTTTCTGGCCACTCAAGCAACCACTGTTCTGCTTTCAGTTTTTATAAAATTGCCTATTCTAGACATTTTGTGGAAATAGACTCACAATACCTACAGTGTTCTGTGTTGAAGTCCCCAGAATAATGTTTTCAGATGTATCCTAGATTCTTTCAATTGCCAAATAGACCATTGTATAGATATATCACATTTTGTTTATCCATTCACCAATTAGTGGAAATTTGTATTATTTCCATATTTTGGCTAATGTTATGAAATGTCTGAATATGCCTTTGTATGAGCCTAAGTTATCTTTTCTCAGATAGATTTTCTTCCTCTTCAAAGGAAAATAACTATTATATGATAAATTTATATTTTAACTTATCAAGAAGTTAGCACCTTTACCATAGTAATAGAAGTACGTGAGTGTTCCAGTATGGCTATGTTCTCTCCCAGCACTCGTTATTCTTTGTATTTTTTTTATTATGCCATTGTAGTTGGTCTTGATTTGCAATTTTCAGAGGATTAATGATAATTGAGCATCATTTCTTACGCTTATCAGCTGCTGTTTCTGGAAAAATGTGTATTCAGCTCTTTTGCTCATTTTTACATAAATCTTTTTTTTTTTATTATTGTTTTAAGAGTTTTGTGTTCCAAAGAATATGGTGAAATGTAGCTGGTACAATTGATAGAACTGGATGGAAAGACTATTTCCACATGGCGAAGGAACAAGAATGTCAGTATTAGTTGAATTAAGAGTGAACTGATTGATTCTTAATTTCAGATCTTACATTATAGTAGTCAACCCCCATTCCTCCCCAATCCCTTTTTCAACCCCTGGCAATCAAATTATTTTTAGTCTTCATGTATTTGCCTATTGTAGACATTTAATATGAACAGATTCATACAAATTGTAGTATTTTGTATCCAACTTTTTTTCTTTAATATGCTCTCAAGGGCCATCATGGCAATATGAATCAGTACTTCATTCCTTTTGAAAATGTCTACATTTTACTCATCATATGAAGAACATTTGCATTGTTTTCACTTTTTGAGTTAGGAACAATGCTGCATGAGCACATTTTTGTGTGGATGTGTTCATTTTTCTTAGGTATACTTTACTGGGTTTTTGTTGGAAGCTTTTTTTTTTTTTTTGTCTTTCAGTTCTTTCAAGATATTCTTCCATTGTTTTCTAGCATACATTATTTCTGATAAAAAGAACCTGTTATCCTTGTTTTAACCCTTTGTCATATAATGTCTTTGCTCTTAAGTTTTTCATTATTGGTTTTAGGCATTTTGATAATGTAGTTTTCTTAATATTTCTTGTGTTTAGTCTTTATTTAGAATCTTGGCCCTGTAGGCATAGTTTTCATCACATTTGTTTAACTTTTGGCCTTTATTTCTTCAAATATCTGTCCCACTCCTACCTCGCGATTCCGATTATCCAGGTAGTAGACTGCCTGAAGTCCTACAGCAAGAATTTTGCATGTTTTTGTTTTGTTTTGGATAGTTTTACTTCTGTGCTTTCAAGTTCAATATCTTTTTTAATGTCTAATCACCTTTTAGTCTCATGCAATATACCTTTCATCTCAGATATTATTTTCATCTCTAGAACTCTTATTTGGGAAGTCATATCTGACATGAGTCTGCCTAATTTGTTGAACATGTAAAATTCAGGTATGTTTCTATTTTAATGTTTTGGTTTCTTTAAATTCTAACATCTGTGTCAGATTTCTGTTGGTTGATTATTCTTTTTATTGTAAGATATCTTGTCCTGCCTCTTTGCAAATCAGATACTGAAAATCTTTGAATGGATACCTGCACTGTGAATTTCACTTTGTTAGATGCTTTTGTTAACTTTGTCCTGCTAAATCTTCTGGGGATGCTTTTGGAAGGAAATCGTGGAATTCTACTTGGAAACAGTTTGTTTCAGGTCTCACTTTTAGGTTGTGTGAAGTGGGTCTGTTGCTATGCTGTCTGGGTTAATTATTTTCTGTTACTGACGCAAAACCTTCCTGAATGTTCAACCCAGTGCCCTGTGAATTATGCGTATTTACAGTCTGTTTGTGGGAACTGGCATGGCATTGTGACCTAGTGTGAGTGCTGCTAATTCTTTCTGTAGCCAAAGGGAAATTCTTTTGCATGGCTCTTTTCCCAGTCTCTGGGAGTTTTCTCACACGTATTCACTGATTAGTATTCTGCTGAATACTTGAGGAGGACCCTACACAGCCTCCTAGATTCTCTCCTTGATGTGATGATGTTCTTCCTGTCATTTACTCTGTCCTATGAACTATAGCTGCTTAAGTCTCCCTGGACTCTCATCCTCATCTTCTCAACTCATTTCACCCATTCTATGCCAGAGCTTGGAAATTCAAAAAAGTTTCGGACTCATCTTTTTTAAGTTTCCTAAATCTCAGAATCACTGTTCTTTGTTGCCTAATACCTAAAGCCTTGAAAATAGGATAAGCACATCCCTTCCACATTTAGGTTATTTCTCGTAGAAAGGTTCATCACTAGTCCCTTTTCTCCATCTTGGCTGGAAGATGAATAAACCAGTGGGATACAAAATCTGAATTTCCCTTTTCCAACATAGGTTTTAGCTATTATTTAAAATTATTTTCATGATAGAATTCTTGGTCTAAATAAGTTTTGTTATCTTCACAGCTTACCTCTAAATGGCAGTTTGCTAGATAATCCAGATAGTTTGGAAACAACCACTGATGATGTCATTAGAACACCTGACACTAGGGAGGAGTTCCAAGCGCCAGAGGAAATTAATAAAGACACCAGACAAACTGGATTAAAGGAACCAGAAGATGACTGTGGGAGTAAGTAAATGTTCTGTGTAACATCACTGGCATCTTTTTATTTTACCTCCCTTTAAAATGAGCTGTTAAGTCAGTTTTGCTAAGACTATTTTCTGAGGTTCAAAACAAAACAACATTTTTTTTTCCTGCAACAGTTGAAGTTTTAAATTTAATGTAGAATAGTTAAGCTGCTTTGTGGCTTAAGGGTACCTTGATATGTTAAAGGTCACATAATTGAGACCATTAAAACTTGTTTATTTGTAAGTTAGTAAACATTTAATCACTATTTTTAACTTCTTATTTCATTTCTTGTGTGAAAATTAAGTTTTAAAGAATTCCTTTAAAGATTTTCTAGGGCACAAGATTGAATATTTGGCCTTCCCATTAGTAATTAGGAAGTATCTTATTCATGAGTTATTGTTGCCTAGACCCATGACACTATAAATAATCCAAAAAGAATGCTGCTTTCCTTAAGTTTTTGAAGATTAAAGGGAAACAATTTATTGCATGTTGAAAATGTCAATGCGTTTGGTTTAATGTTAAAATATAAACTATTTAAATGGGAGTTCCCTAGTATTTAGATGTTGCCCATATTTATGTAGCTCTTGGCAATTTTGATTTCTATTGCTAAAATTAGGGCCTCCTTAACTCCTAAAATAGGGGTTAATTCTTGGCATTATCACGTTATCACCACTGCAACCTGAGCTGATTCCAGGCCAGAGTTGACATATGGCTTAGCAGAACTTTCCTGTCTCTCCCACTGCTCCTGAAATACTCAGCAGGGTATTTCAGTAGATCTTCCTGTTCTATTCCCCTCTGTCTCTCTCACGTGAGAGGAGTAATAATCACCAAACATTTGAAAACCTTATATATCAACTAATTTATGGCCCTTTATTGGTAAATTTTGGAGCAGCAAATTGGAAAAGTATAGGGAAGCAAATTTAGAACCAGTATAGCTCAGACTTTTTAGATGTTTCAGTCATCTGTTAAAAGTAGATACCTAACGGGGCCCTCCCTGGTGGCGCAGCGGGTTAAAGCACAGCACTAAGAAACTACAGCCACTTCCGTATGAGTTCTATCCCCGCCTGCCCCGGAGGCGACCACATGGCGGCTGACCTCTCCTGACCCGCCCGCTGCTCCCCTCAGCAGTGTACTTTGTCCATCTGCCTGTTCTGCTCCCCCCTCTGTCTCTGGTGACTCCTCTC